TGCTTTTAAAAAATCTCTTTTGCTTAGGTTAACAATTTAAAGACAACTGATGTGAATGGCTAACTCGATGTGCTGAGTTTCAGCTGTATTTGGAAAATTCGAAGTATTTTTACATTTCTGTTTCGGAGAATTTACCTTGGGAGTCGTGGATTAGAAGTTATATCATTCTAGCTACAATCCTGTTATTTCTAGGTGAGATTTTTTATGTGCAATGGAAATGCAGACTCTGTTGCTATTAAATTGAACTCCATTTAATTGGTAGACCTAAAGAGCATAAAAAAAAGGAGGGGTTATTCCTATCACTGTTGTCGTTGTTGAATGTATTGCAGTTTGTTTGTAAGTGGATATGAGACTGAAGTAGACCATTAAGTGAGCTTTGAGATTTTTTTTTAATAGGAAATAATATTTATGAATCTTGCCATTTGCTTTGACTTCACAGATTAATGAGCAAGCAAGTGATGAGGTGCTGGAAATTGAGCAGAAGTACAATGAGGTTCGCATGCCTGTCTACAATAAAAGGAACGATATCATCAAATCTATTCCTGACTTCTGGTTAACTGCGGTTAGTGACTGATTGACACTCTAAAATTTCTATTCTAAGTCAGCTATCGGCTATCAGTTTCTTACCTTTTTGTGATACATGCATAATGCAGTTCCTGAGTCATCCTGCCCTCTGTGATCTTTTGACTGTAGAGGACCAAACGGTTTGTCACCTGAATTCTGAAATTCATTAAATTTTGTTTGGAGCTGCAATTTTGATTTATTCCCTTTTATTTTTATTTTTATGTTTAAGATGTCAATATCAATGAATGTTTAATCCTGTGGTTGTTCTCATGCAAAGTTAGGGTAGAAGGGGCTGGAATTAATTTCATTTCCTGCCATTGTAGGAAAAAAAATAACTTGGAACTTTTATTAGGAATTAACATTGAATTGAAATAAAAAGCTATTTACTCCATATTGAATTGAAATAAAAAGTTATTTACTCCATAGTAACGTTGATAATGAATGCTTGCACCAAAATGACTCATTTGTCTATTGTTGTTGGCACAGATCTTCAAGTATCTAGATTCTCTTGATGTGGAGGATTCCAAAGATGTGAAGTCAGGGTATTCTATCACATTTGTAAGTATCTTTCTCCACGCTTTCTTTTGATGCACTTTATTATTGTTGCTCTTGTTTTTGGAATGAATTCTATTGTTTTCATGAGCAGTTAATTAATTTTTATTAATTTTTTCTTTTCAGATGCTATTTATCTCTTAATCTGCAATCATGAGCTTGTAGTGTTGTTGATGAGTTATTTCTGATTGTTTCCTTGTCTTTCCTTTTTTATCGTTTCACTCTTAAACTTCCAGAATTTCGAAGAGAATCCACATTTTGAAAATACAAAGCTGACGAAAACCTTTACATTCTCTGATGAGGGTACAACTAAGATAACTGGTACAGACATCAAGTGGAAGGAGGGCATGGTAATGCTGACCTATTATCCCTGTGGCATCCGTTACTCTTTCTTCTCTCTTGTGTTTCTGTAGAAGGCTGATTGTGAATTCTAACGTGTGAAGGGCACTGCAAATGGAGTCAATCAAGAGAAGAAAGGAAATAAACGACCTTTGGCAGAGTTGAGGTTATTCTCTAACCATTCGTTGCTTTATTAAGCCATTTTTGTTTAAAAATGGTGTAGCTAAATTCATATGTTAGGCTTCGTCATCAAAAAGGGTTGCTGAGGCATGGGCATAAAAATCACGTATGGTTTAAGGCAACAAGTTGCAAGATTTTCTATGATTTCACCACATTAATTGAGATATCTAACTAATATGTTGGTTTTTAAGGGAATGCTTTATTAATGTGCCAAAAGGGTAACCTCAGCATGACCTTTGTCATGTTCAAATTTGAAGTGGGATAATCAGAATTCAGATGCTAACATCTGAAGTAAAATCTTTCGTTTTGCATGCTTCAGCTGTAGGATGCTGTTTGATTGGTAGAGGCAGACAATTAAACTTTTATTTTAGAAGCTTGTTGGTGTGACACTTAAATTTGCTAACCTGAAACGTAAATTTGTTAGGTAGTTTATCCATCACAATGTCATTTAGCTCACCCAGACCACGTTATATGTACTGTACTTGTATTAGTCATGGATTCCATGCGATTCCATTCAGTCTTATGGTAGAATGAGCTTTGTTTTATGTTCACTCCTATGCATGGCCTCCTGTCGAAGCGTCATAAATTCACCAATCAAATTAAAATTTTGATATTCATGGGAGGGTGGACTGTAGAATTTTGTGGTAAGGTGTGGGTGTTTCCCATTGTTTGGAAGCACCTAATTGGAAATTGATAAATCTTTAAGAATCAACATTTATCAGTGGAACAGTTGCTGTGAGATCAGACAAGTACTGATGTAGAACAGAAAAGAGAAGAAGGGAAAGCAGAATAGTAGAGAGGAGCTAGGGAGGAGAATAGGAAAGAAGAATTAGAGAGGAGAACAGGGAAGAAAGCGGCAGAGGAGAGGAAAACAGGGGAAAAGATGAGGGAGAGAAAGTGAGAAGAACTGTAGGAAAAGAAAGTTTCAGTTATCAATAATAATCCAGTTATCCTTAAACATGATAACATGTGTCCTTAGGCACCAAAATTTAGTGAATTCCTATATAAAATAAGAAACATATAATAATACTAAACCTAATAAAATCCCTAGATATCTTAAAGATTATAATAGCCCAAAATAAGTAGTTTCTAATTAAGATAAAATATAAAATAAAACATAATCTCTAACTTTCCTGTAATAATTATATTGCAAATCTTCCATTTATTCTCCATCAAGTACTTTGGTCTCTATACCTCTGGCTAAGGGGATTGTCATGGAGTTTTTAAGCCAATGTTTTAAGGAATTGGAAAGGCCTAGTTTTTTTCTCTTTATTTTTTTATTTCTTAACTGTATGAGGATGGCATAGTCTTCCTGTTGCGATTGTGCATTCTCTCTATTAACCTTATATCAAAGGGAAAAAAAAGCTGTGTGAACCTAGGACAAAATGGAGATATATACTTGTGTGATCTGACAACGGGATTTGATCTGCTATCTGTAAATTGTTGCTCTTTGGTGTCTAGGGTGTCAGATTTTTTACCCTTCCATTCTAAATAGAAAACCAATTTAATTTGAGAGCTAATCCAGAACTCTATAATTAATCTCAAGCCTTAACTTCATTGGAGGTACAGAAATCGTTCAGAGAGCAATCCTCTTTTTTTTTCCTAATGGTTAGTGCTTTTATTTCACTTTATATGTGCTCGTTGATACATTCATAAATTATTTTATGGGTGCAGCTTCTTCACTTGGTTTGCTGAAACTGAGCAGAAGGAGATCTCTGAGCTTCATGATGAGGTAAGAGATGCCCTTTGCCTTGTTACTTTCTTATGTCGATAGTGTAAAATGATGATTTTATAGTTTGTTCTGCCATACTTGACTCCATTTTAGTGAATAAATATATTCATTTTCTAACCATCAGCATTCATTTAATCTGTCTCAGTTGGATTAAAGTTAAACTGCTTGCTTCTTGTTCTTACTGTATTACTAATTTTGGTTTTCCTCCAAAATTGCAGGTTGCAGAGATTATTAAGGAGGACTTGTGGCCCAATCCTCTGAAGTACTTTAACAATGTATTTTATTTTTACTTTTTTTTCATAGTTTCTCTTTTTCTTTCTGTTATTCACATTTTCTGTTTTTTCCTTTATAAAAAAAAATGTTCCTTTTAGTGAATTAAAGGAGATCTTTGGATTGAAGTTTACTTTTAGAGTCACTCTATTTTATTGTTTTAGGAAGCTGATGAAGAGGATTCTGATGGGGATGGAGATGAAGGTGAAGAGGTAATGAAGATAAGATTCCAATATATCTGTTCTTGCACACACACACGCACGCACGGGAGAACATGCACACAAACATAGGTCGAATGCATGTATGCACACACACACACATTTATCTCATAGTTGGCATTGTTTGATGTTTGCATTTGATCACTTCATGGTCCTTTTTTTTTTTTTTTTTTTTTTGGTGTGTGAAAACTGAGTTTTAGGCACATGTTTTGAACTCTTTCTGTTATAGACAAACATAATTTTTTTTCAAATAGAGAAATAGATATTTTGAAAGTAGTCTACTGGGACTGGCGCAAATAGGGGGCAGAAACAGGATCTGGTGATCAAGCAAATAATCTGTAGGAGTTCCAGATGTACCCAAGTTCTGTAGAGATAGCATATGCATTTATTTAGATTCTAGTTCCATGGAATATAGTGCTTTATCAAACGCTGCTAACATCAAATATGGAATGTTTTATTTGTTATGGGCAATGGGAACATGTTTTTGGGTTGCCGCAAGTTGAAGTTATATTGATCTGTTCTTATGGAGATCGGAACTATTTATTAGAAAAGTGAAGTATGTTTGGATTATTAACAGAAATACAAGCATTCTTATCAAGGCTTAAGCAAAGCACCTAAATCAAAGTTCAGACAAAGGGGTTAAAATCATAATTACCTTCAATACGTTATTGGTTGATGGTTATCTAAGATATGACCGTATAGTGGTGGTGTCTGCACCAGCATCTCACCACACACACGCACATACCACCCCCAACCCCCGGCCCCCATTCCACAAGACTTTATATCTGTGTATGTGTATTTGTTTGCATCCCAATAGCACACTGTCCCTAAGATTGGCACCTTGATAATCCTAGTCTCCCAATAGGATTTCCAGTCATGCCTTTTGAGCTATGAAAGTCTCTTGACTTGCAATAGTAAGTGGCTGTTGATACTTTATGTTTATATGATGCTGTGCTTGTCTTGACATGAATGATGCTTGTCTACAGGAAAACGGTGAGGAACAAGATGATGACGACGACGATGACGATAATGAAGATGTTGATGAGGAAGACAACTGAAGTTTCTCTTGCTTTTGTGGTTTTCTATTCAGCAAGGAAGAAAGGACCAAACTAGATATAGGAAGTGGAATAGCTAATGATGTGAAGCTACCGCTGGTTTTGAACATTTGTAGCTTTCCCAAGTTTCTTACACCGGATTTTTAAAAGATTTCTCATCGAGCTATAGCACATGTTTTAGATCATGCTTTATCTTCCATATATATAAGTAGCTGGTATTTTTATAATTGTTGCCGATTCCTTCGATGCCTTGGTTTTTTCTCTCCTTTCCTTTTCTTTCGTTCTTCCTTTTTTCTTTCTTTCTTTTTTTTTTTTTTTTTGGTGGATAAAAAGAAGGTATCTGTAGAAGGAACAGAACAAATACGGAAACAAATTGAAGCAGCAATAAAGAATAGGAGAAAAATACAAATTGAAGGATGATAAATTCTCCGTTGTGAAAGAAGAGGAAAAAAAAATGAAATAAGAACACTATTTTTTGAAAATGTCATGACTCCTAGGAAAAGTTGATCTCTGACTGCTTGCCGTAGACCATTTGCTGATTTATTAGACGTTGGAGACGAGAAGAGATTGGAATGCAAAATCTCTAGTTTCTTCCATTTCAAATATAGTGAAATCGAAGACCGAGTTAATGTTTAAAAAATGTTTAGAGAAAGCTGGCATGTGAGATGTTGGAGAAACTAAACCTGTCAGGTCTAGGCTAGCAAAATTTGGTTTCCTGCAGATCTCATCTATGACCTTCTCTTCTAGTCATGAAACTGCTGGCTAAATGGTCCATGGCTATTTCAAACAAGATGGTGTAGTGGTGTCTGCACTGCCGTCTTGCTCCACCAACCACTAAACTATATATCTGTTGTATGTGTGAAGAGGGGCACTTAGATAATCCTATTGTTCCAATAGCATTTTGATACATACCTTTTCATTGTTATCATCATCATTGTCACATCTTGTTCATAATTTGCATATCATCTGATGTAAATGCTTTTGTTGACTTGCGATGAACAAATAGTGGCGATGAGGAAGAGGATGGAGACGGTGATGAGGAAAAGTTGAAGCTTCTCATGCTTTCATGATTTTCTTGTCAGTGGAGAGGGAACCAAACTAGCTAGATACATAGGAAGTACAATAGCTAATTATAGTTTAGAAGTCGGAGATAAGATATTGGAGGAAATTAAACAAAGAGCGCCACATATATGACATCAATCGGTTTAGTTTCCTCCAATTCTTACCTACGGCTTGCAAATATACAGTAATTTAGAAGTCGGAGATAAGATATTGGAGGAAACTATACTAATAGCACTGTATAATGTCAATTAATCTAGTTCCCTCCAATTCTTACGTACGGCTTTCAATTATGGCGAAACCAAAGAAAATGGAGTTTATACTAAGCATATTAGAGAAATTAAGGTGGAGGTGAGATATTGGAGAAAACTAAACCTGTAAGCTCTAACGTTAGGAAGTCTCATCTAAAAACTCTCGTTTTTAACCACGAGGGTACTGCTGGCTAAAGGCCTTTGGTATTTATAAGCATGGTTTGGAATGAAGCACGCACATAATTGCTTGCAAGCTGCTATCCATAACAGATTGCATGTTAGAAAAACAGTAATAAAGTACACTCACGCAGTTTCTCTTGAACAAATAGTACAGATCTGTTAAGAGACATATGCGGGGCATTATAGGGTTTCCATGCTTGGGAGTTGCGCATCAATTCTTCCATCTGCTTCCTTATTGAAGAGACCCTAAGTCTGATGTTCAGTTTTAGTTTTGACTCCATCGATTTCTTTTTTTAATTTCTCCCGTATTTCTCTCCTTTTTAATAGTTATTCGTAGAATAATATAAAATTTCTCCAATTACTGGATAACAAAAATCAAATAACAATAAAATCGGTTTGTATCAAACATAATGCAACAATCATTACATGCAACGTCCTGATTATAGACTCAATCGCCCAAGGGAGAAGGCAGATTATCCTTATTGGGTAACCCAGACATCATGAGAATTAAAGGGAAATTATACCTGGAAGCCTAACAAATGAAGGGTTAATGAAGCAACACGAAAGACAAAATCTCACTGTCCAGGGCATAACTCGAACAATCCTAAAGAAACATCTTACACGATACAGCAATCTATGAAGTTAAAAGCCATTTGGACGTGCATAAAATATGCAGCTACTGTACAAATTCATCTTACTCGAGAAGAAAATAGGGATCAAAACCATCCCAAATCAAGTCGGAAGTCAACACGCCAGCAGTAGCTCCGGCATTTCTCTCATGCAATTTTACAACTAGCAAATACAGGTTAGAAATCAAAGGGTTCCTCAAGAACGGGTCGATGGTTTTACCAAGTTCAACAACATCAGATAGAAGCATATCGCCCTCAATATTCCCATTGAACATGCAGTTTGAGAGAGCATAAAAGCCAAGTAAATTTGCATATATTGGTAGAAATGCATCTTTGTGGTTACCAGCACCACCTATCCAATCAACTCCTCCCAAATTCTCAACATGGTCCCTAGCAAACGATGTCAACTGATTACAAAATCTCCTCCTCCAGTTGTATAAATAATTTTTGAAGTTCTGTTTGATTCGCCCATCAGCCAACCATGATTTTGAAATTGGAAGCTGCTCCAAATGAGAGCAGCATATTTGACAGATCAATAGCTTCTCTTCATGATGATTATCGATTTCCTTGTCAAAAACCCGTCTGACAATATCTCCTTTCGATGCTACATAAATTCCTCCGTTTATCACCCACTGTAAAAGATGATCAAAGTAATCAACCCAGTGACCAAAAATATAAGACAGATACCCAAAACTCAATTCAATCACTTTCTCCACTTGCATTGGGACGCCAACAGCATGAAAGCTGCTTCTAGATGTTCTTGAAGAAAAGCATTTCTGGACATTCAAGGCAAGCCATTGTCTTATCCCATCATCTTCATCCTCCAGCAGCTTGATGCAAGTGAACCATATCTCCAGCAACTGACGACCATACATATTAACAGCTTCTTTTGGTTCAAAACAGGAACCGGAAAGTCCAGCGGGTATTTCATTACTGAACATACAAGAACCAATAACTGCTGCTTGTTCAAGCAAACCAGATGCAATTATGGATTCTGCTGCTGCATTGCGCATGGTCACTGGCTCAGATGAAGAACTATGTTCTTTGATCAGGTTGACAAAAAGGGTTATGCATTCATACAAGGGTGCTGCTTTTTCCAGTTGACAGGATTCACTGGATCTGAGAGTTTTCTCCTCTATGTAAACCAGAACACTGCTGCTTAATAAACTTGAAAACTTTTTCACACATATAGCCATGCAGCAGATAAGTGTCTCTCGTGTCTTTTTATGTTTTGTGACATTGTATAAGGATAACAACTTATCCCAGAACTGAAATGTGGAATCATAATCTAAGTTACCGACATAGGTAATGTCAGCAGAATTTTGGTTTCCGAGTTTTTGAAACTGTAGCAAGTTCCAAGTGAAAAGAATCCTCAGAATGTAATATTTACATCTATGATTCTTCTCAGAGTCCAAGAGCTTAACCGCTTTCTCCTGGAGGTTTGACTTACTCCAATGCTGAATAATTCTGATCGCGTTGCTAGACAAATGGTGGACATCACTGCTAGAATCTGTCAACTTCAGGAACTTCAACAGCCACTTCAGTGTTGCAAGTCGAACTTCATATGATGAATCTGACAAGGAACAAATTAGCCTCTCCTCGAGTCTGACAAAAGATTCCTTTGATTTAGGCAGGTTCAACAACTTTACATCAGGTGATAAATGATCCCATGGCTTCTGAAGAACCTCCTCCACATCATCCTTAGATGCTCGCAGCACACAACCAAAATAGGATATGGTTGCTTGCTCACGAAGTTCTGCTACTGTTGGATCATAATAAGACCCTCCATAAGAATCTTCTACATCTAAGCATTCTGTACATAGCTTCCACAAAAGACTGCGGATGGGAAATACATTTTCACTGATATGCCCTGTTTGTGCAATACTGAGCATGTGATCTAACACCCTTATAAAAGAGCCATTAAGGATTGGGCAAGGACACTTTTTCGGGCTTGCAATCCATGAATGTTTCACTAGAAGTTTGAACAGGTCACCAAGAATTTTCTCTTTCTTCATGATATCAGCAAGGTTTCTGCAATTTGAATCTAGAAGAGAACACAGTTGCAATAGCATTCCATGAATCGAATTATAGTTAGCAGAGATGGTTCCATTGCTTCGGTTCAATAGGGAGGAGGAAGAGGAAGAAGCTGCAATTTGACTATCTAAGCAAGACAATTCAGAGCCAATATTCAGGAGGACAGTTGGCAGTTTCTCATTGGAGACCAGTCCTGTTAAAGCTCTAGATGCAAGAACACGAACTCGTAGATTACTTTGAGTAGAGCACCTCCTGATGAATGGCATAAATAGGAATGGATCCAAGTCATCTCCACTCTCACTAGCAATTGTTGAAGGCTTGAGCCTCGATAGAAGAATTAAAACAGGGCACAAGCTTGGGTGTACGACCTTCGATAAGTTGGATTGCGAGCATCCAGATGATGCATCCCCAAGTGCATCAGTTGCAACATTCAGTTCATTGTAAAGAAATGGATGCAATGTGGGGTACCTTCAGGCAAGAAAATAAAATCAATGTTCACATAACCTTTAAAATGTTAGTCAGCATAAAAAAAATGTAAATCATCAACATTTCATGATAATAGGAGAATATATTTAACAATCAACAGGTAAGAATCCAGATGGTATGTCAAGCTCCTTTAAGAAAAATTGCAAAAACATTTCAGACAAGATTCTAAATTCTCGAATTCCAATTAATTTCCAGGATCAAGTAATGCATGGAACCCTTGGTCGTTGTGGAAAATAAATATAGATGCATAACAAATAATTCTCTTTTGCTTTTGTGAGAACCTGGAAATAAATTTAATTACATAAGGGAACCCTTTACATTTTTTTCAGTCCTATACCAACACAAAGTAGGATTTCATATTGTGAAAAAGAAGAACAACTATTTTTAAGCTTCTTTTGTTTAGCATTTTTTTTTTTTTAACTTTCACAAGACCATGGACAAACAAAAGGAATCCTCACTAAATAGATGACAAGGTAGCATGTTAATCCCAATGCATAAAATATGCCAGAATACTTCTCTTAGATTGTATTCTGCAGAGATAACCAATGAGAAAGGGCAATAATGCTTAGAAATACAATATAGGAAAATAGAAGGTATTAATTCTACTATTCCAGATTGCTCCTAACCAATTCCCCGTTGTACAAATAAAATGAACAGAAAATCCACAGAACATTAAAATTTGTCACCTTAAGAGAAGAAACGAAACAGATAAATAATTAACATAAAGTCATAGAGACCAAACCTGTGAAAAAATTCAAGCCCAGTTAGTGCACGTCGAGCAGATTCTCGTTTTTGAAGATTTAGAAACCCTATCATGCGTCGTACTAAGGCAGTGTATGCCAGACAAGCACTATTTCGGACCTCCCAGTATGGAGAAGAGAAAGAGCGGATTGAGACAATCAAAGCCTCCGCAGCAAATCCAGATGCGTCAGTTGCCAGGTTTGTATCATTAAAAGCAGCTTTAAGAACATTAAATGCATGTACTGTCGGAATTACACCTTCATCTCGGATCTTTGAGGTCTTTTCCATCACATTCATCCCATGCAGCTTTGCAGAATCAGGTTCTTGGTCTGAATTTGTATCTGACAACTTGCAGGGGTCAACGTTCATGCTCTTGGCATCAATTGAATTCAGCAAGGAGCCATTAGCTACATCTATTAACCACCGTAAAGCTCGTGGAAGGAGCTTCTTTGGTGCGCCATCAGGCTCTGACAGAAAGAGAGCAATAAATGCTGCTGGAATACCCGCACTTCTTCTTAACAAATCATCCACAACTTGCCCCTTGGCAACAGTTCTTTCCATCAGTTGTTCCATCCAAATTTCTGTCAACTTGCAAAGTCTAGAAAAGGAGAAACCATAACAGAAAAAAGACTCATGATTTATGTTTTTTTTCCCACAAGTAATGCACATAACACAATTTACATGAATAATTCAGATTTTTTTTAAAAAAAAAGAGCTTATACAGAAGATAATTTGCAAAACAAGCCCAGATGGATAAGATAAGATCAAAAAATATTTATATGATGTGTAGAAACATAATGAAGAGAAAAAAGGAAAAAAAAAAAAAAGGAAGATCACATGGTAATAGGAACTGTCTAGACGCCACACAGAACACTCTCAACTTCTCATATTTTTTTCTCAAAATATTGATAGTAATACAAAATATAACCCCAAGACCAGTATACTATGACAGAAGCCTATGCCATGCTAAATTATCATACCTACATAAGTTAGTTTTGCCCAAAGCAAATAAAGTTTTGAAAAGGAAAAGACTAGAAGGAAGCATACCTTTGATCATTCGAGCAAAGTAAGCGATTGCAAAGAGCAGTGAATCCGACCCTTGTCTTATCAATCGCTCCATTGTGCTTCATCTTCAGAAGGACTTCCAAGAAGTGGTTTCCAATTTGTTCAAGTTGTTGCAAATCAAGTATTGCATTAGGTATCGTCAGCATCAAGGCTTCAGGGCAGGGAGCTTCAGACTTCGAATCTGAGTAACTATTACCTGGCAAGGGAATTTTTCTTATGATAGTTCCTAGAAGAAGACTCACCTGAAAGGAGAAAAAAAGGCTCATTAAATTTATGGTTATCATATAAAACAACCTCCTCAGTTACTAAATTTCTTTTCAAAAAGG